GGTTTACAAAGAAAATGATCTCTCAGTATTAGCCAAATTATTACAAAGGAGAAAAACCAAATTTGAAGTGATATTACTGCCTTGGCTGACTCTTGATTTGTTATATTGTTAGGTTAAAGAATTCAACTTTCATGTGACAGTTCAAGTGTCCATTAAAACTTTCCAAGAATTGAAATTATAAGACATCACTGAAATAAAAGCCAAAGCTATCCCTATAACAGGCCGTTGAGGCTCACAGGGTTGAGAGATGTCAAGACTGCTACATTTTATAGGCCATCAGATCACAGATGGATGTGAGGTTGTCATCATTATGCACTGGCCACCTTCTGCCTCCAGGAAGATTCCTGGTACACATTTCTGTTAGAGGCTGAGTCAACCCAGTGCCATAGTGCGGCTGGAAGACTTAGGTCAACTTGAAAACTCACTGACCTCATCGGGAATTGAACCTGCAACCTTTTGGCTTGTATTATGATGCCTCAACCAACTATGCTTCTGTGTGCACCTAGACATCATTGAAATACACAAATAATATGACTTTTAAGCAAGAAATTCGACATCATTCATTCATATTTCCTGTTGCTCTCACTTAGAGCATGGGGCACCCACGAAACACTTCATTTCACTTCAGTTTCCAATCTTACAAACATTCAGTAGGACTCCTTAAATGGGAGATCAGCCCATTACAAGGTGGCTACCTGCACAGGACAACATGAACTCAGCATAAATGCAGATATATGGTATCAACATGTCCTCTTTTTCAAATATCTTTCTGTCTACTTATCTGATTCCTGTATAGAACTGTTTTCAGAAGCTGCAGCAAATTTTCTGTGTTTATTAGCACAGCTACTTACATTTTTAAGCTGCATGGTTTCCATTGCTGCCAGTCTGTGGTCATGATATACAAAAGTCTGCATATGACTTGGGGTTGAAGACATCTGTTGCCCTTGGCCTTGTCCCTGAACATGGAATGTAGCATAAGGAGAGATATCTTCTGCATATTCTGAAAGTATGGAAATATAAAACTGTTGACAGATTCTCTGGTGATGGGACTGAGGGGGGACAAAGTTGCTCATGTCTGTGACATTCTTTAAGTCATGCGTGTCCCCTGGGTAGTGCAAAATGAGCAACAAACCTGGCAAAGCTTCCCAAAAGAAAAATGCAAACTTCTTCAAGATGCAACAAAGCAAGAACTTGAGTGCTCTCTATTGGGAAGCAAGAAGTAAAATAGGGTAAATGATCCCAAATGCAGCCATTGGAAACCAACTAACCAACCAATGATGGGACTGAATCTGGTTCTTGGAAGAGTAGGAATAAGTTGGATGGTTTATTAATTACATATTACTTGCAGAAATCACAATTTTCTGACATGTGACATTATGTAGTTTGGTGGAGGAGATTGATAGCTCCATCCTCAGGCAGTAAATTTAGCAAAGCAGAAATAATGGTACAAAATACAGGAAATGGACACAGATATGAGCGAACCAATGGTGCCTAGTGGCCTTAAAAAGGACCATTTTTTTGTATGGAGACTTGCTCAAGACATACCTGATGACCTCCCGACATTGTATGAAGAACTTGACGAGCTAATGTTGGCTTCTCAACAACTTGGCTCCGTGGAGTTAATTAGTTAAGTACATCTGTTTTATATATCAGCTTGAGATATGTAAAATGACGTTTCACGAAAATGATACAGGGGAACATTGTTAAAATTTACCACCACATTTCAATTTTGTTTAAGGACGGGGAACAGAAATGAGCATTCTGTGTTCTATGCTCTATCAGCTGTTGCAGTTAGTAGCTGGTAGCTGAAGCCAAGGACAGTTCAGGAACGTCCACTGTTGGAAACTCCTACCAAGCAATGACAGTGAAGACTTGACTGTGGACATGTGCGTGCAAGTGTGTGAGTTACAGTGAACTGTAAAATATAGTCATACACTGTCAGACACAGTCCAATAAATCCGATTTCCTATCCAAACCCAGCCTATAGTCACACTCTATCATGTGACACTATGAATTTCTAAGTTCCTTGAGTGATCTCATAACCACTTCAGATTGATGGAAACTCACCAGGCACTCTTTCCACTGTATGAGTGGAAATGCCTTTCTGTACTGCAGCATAGTGCTGCTCCCTTTGAGCAAGATTATGTTTGTTATCCAGCGCAACCACTGCCTGTGTGTCATGGCTTGCATCACCCCGCCCTTCACCCTGTCCGAGTTCTCCATCTGACTCATGATCAGATCGTTCTTGGCTTGATTCTGTAATTAAAAAATATCTGATATTTAGTCTTTGTATCTGACTGCTGAGATCAATTCAATTCTGCTTATATACTAAAACCAATAAAGTTTCCACCAGAAAGTTGCCAGCAAATATGAAACAAGATTAATATTAGATGAAATGTTTTTCGGTGGGATTGGCAGCAGGTTGCAACTTTTTCAGGCATGAAAATAAATGAAGTAATTAAATGGCTGTACATTTTGTCACTAGAATATTTTGCATATCACCGAAGATGGAACTGAAAAGATAATTTTGAAAAAAGGAGTATATTTCATTCTTTAAAATAATTATAAAATTTGAAACCAGAAAAATAAAATGTATTGCTTGACATCTGTAAGGATTGGATGGGTTTGTAATACCACAACTATACAATTTACTGATGGGGAAGTGATCTATTCTTTTCATCTATGCTCTTTCTGTAATAGCAAGAATGGAAATCTGTACTTAAGCAAACAATATTGAGACATGTGTGGGAACATCCCACACACTATCACGCTGTTTCGCCGATCAACGAACAACACTCACTCCTAAGTCAATAGCACATTGCTGCCACCACTTATATTTATACAGCACTCGATGCCCAGCTCACTTGTAATCATTACATGTGCTAGCCAATCAGCGGTCATAATTGCAACTGCAAATTTCGCTCCTCCATCAAGAATTGTATAAAAGGTGGAGCCCAAAGCTCACAGTCATCAGTGACCACATCAGCCAGTCAGCCATCTCACTTAGTCCAGAGCGATTGGCTTTCGGAGTCATCGGCTCCTCACTGCACCAGGGACGGCTGCCTCAGCTCTCCGGCAGTCATGCCCAACACACGGGGAAACTGGCGCAGCTGCCGCCACTCCAGCAACTGCGCTCCGTGACCTGATGTCTTCCAGTAACCACGCTCTGCAACAAGGCAACTTCCGGCAACTGCCGCACTGCGACCAGGCACTTCCAGCAACTGCCGCACTGCGACCAGACAGCTAACTCTGTCGCCACAACATCAGTCAACACACTCAGTTCATCCCGAGACAGCAGCCCAGCCAGAGGCATTAGCTCCTTACTGCGACCAGGCAACTGACATAGTTGCCGCAAGCCTTCAGCGACCAGGCAACCAAAGTAGCAGCAGCAAGTCTCCAGCGACCAGGCAGCGAATGCAGCTTCTGCAACTCCAGCAACCGGCTGAGGCAGCACTACATTACCGTCCAGACAGGCCAGCTGGATGGCCGTAAGACTCTGCCTACTATGGAGGAGCAAAATCTGCCAGCACACTCGCGGTATAAAAAACAGTGAGGGCGAATCAGTGAGAAAAGGCAAATAGCAAGCACGTGTGGTGAACATTAATAACAACCCCACACATGAAAGGAAGAAAGACAGAATTAAGATGATTGGTGAAATTCTAAGGGATGAAGCTGTCAGTTCTGTGACTTCATGTGACTGTTTTATCTTCACAGTAAAAATGTTTAAAACATCACTTTCATCTACAACATTTGTGAGAAATGTGAACCAGAGACCTGATCTCATGGAGGAACAGTCTGGTATGAATGACCAACCTTGTTTTATATATCTGCTGCTATATGAGTATATGGGGAAAAGTTAAATGACTGAAAATCATGAACCAGTAACTCTTGATTCATATTCAGGAAATGGTTTTGAATCTTGGCTACCCTAAATTAGGATTTCATGGGTTTTCTCAATTCCTTCAAGAAGTGCTAATAT